TGTAGTCACGTGCCGAAATTAGGTCTGTGCTGTGTGCCTAAGAAATGGGGTAGTAGGAAACAAAAGCGACCCCTCCACCCCAGCAGGCGGGGCTTGGAGCCTCCCGGGAGCCTGCCTTGACACTTCCTTCACATTCTCAGAATGTGGCCACACAGTGTCCATAAAGGGCCTGCTTGGCTTGTGACACAGACTTGGCCCAGCACGTACCCAGCTGTCGTCTGTCCAGGAGTGGCCGGTGGGCAAGTCTGTCCTGTTGAAGCTTTCCCATGCCTCTGCCTGGCGTAATTTCAGCAGGACTTAAATGCACGCAGCATATCGCTAGGAAAAGCAGTGTTCACATGCTCTGGTCACTTCAATCAAAATGCTCTTTTTGGGTATTGTTTTGGCTGGATTTGACCAAGCCTGGACAAAACTGTCTGTCGGACGGCCTCCCCTCTCCTGTATGCCACAGGGCTGGAGGCGAGGGATTCTTACTGGGCTCAAGGACACTCCGGCCCAGTAGAGTAGGCCACCTGCTAACTCCTGTCACAGGCCTGGGCTTTCCTCTTCAGCTGAAGTGAGGGAGCAGGCGTGGGGAAGAAGAGTGTGAGGCTGAGGGATGCTGGGAGGCTTGAAGAGCGTCTCTGTGTGTGTCTGGTTTCTGCTGTTTGGGCCCATCTTGAGGCATGGAAAGAGGCCCAGAGCTGAGGGACAGTGGAGAAAGGGTGGGGGGTGGTGCTCCCAGAAGTGTTTTCCAAAGCCATGGCTTTACCACCACAAGGTCTGGCATGATGGCGGTGATGAGAAGGGACTTGGGACTTCAACCCGTTGCCATGGTGCCCTGACACACGCTTATCTCCCAGGGAACACGCCCCTTCCCCTTTGTTCCCGCTGGATGGCTGTGGATGGGACTGGAAAAGCAGGGTCCCCGGGAGGCGAGACAGCCCAGAGGCCAGGCTTGCTGTGTGAGGGGGACGAGAGACATCCGCTTGGACTGGGGCTGACCAGGACAAGGACTGCAGTGACTGAGGATGGGAGTCTGGGGCCCCAGAAGTTTCCTAATGACTGCAGGGGTTGGGAGGTACCTTGTTCCCTGGCTCTGCCCCCGCCACCCTCACTCAGCCCAGAGTACCCCTGAGCTGCTGGAACTGGTATCCGAGGGTCGGGATGGCCCGGCCCAGCTCCCTGAGGAAAGGAGATGCAGCTCACACGTGGCTTCTGCCTGGCCCACATAGCCGGCGGGGAGACTTTATTCATCTTGGGAGAGTGACAAGAGGAAAGAGAACATGTAAGAGTGACTGGGCAATACTGATGTGAGAACAAGAACAAAGTCTAGCACGACACGGCAGCCAACACAATGCTGAAGTGGGGCGGTCATCCCCCAGGCCTGGGACCCAGCATGTCCAGGATTCCTCTCCCTCATCAGACTCAATGGGAGAGACTTGGGACCCTGGAGCACCAAGATGGAGCGAGTCAGTTGATGCTGACAGCATCCCAGCAGGGCAGGAGTCCTCATCTCCTGTTCGCTCAGAGGACATCCCTGCCCCACGCTGCCATAGGCTGGGACTGAGCGAGGCCGGGGACACCATGAGAGGCTGGGCCTGTGGATGTCGCTGCCGCTGAAGAAACACTCCAGGCGGAAACCCCGGGCGCGCCTGCACAGAGGCCTCCAGCCCCCAGTGGAGCTGACTCCAGGGCATGGGGTCCCACCCATGCAGGAAGAGGTGGGCGGGAGACATGGCCAACCTCTGGCCCTGGCCCTGGGCTTATCATCACATCCTGGGGCCAGGGGACACTGCTTCCCCATGTGGCCATGCCCATGTAGGGGTGGGGTGGCTGGTGGGATGGGGAGGAGGACATGAGATGTGGGGGTCTGTGGAGGGGGGACAGGTGGTGAGTTCGGTGGGAAGACTCTCCACACCCAGCTTCCCGTGTCCCGTTCCTCGTGTCAAGCGTAGGGGGCCAGGCTTCAGGGAGACCCTGCAATCACCCCACCTGGCCCACCTCCCCAATCGGCTTTCCTCACCTGACCCCTCCTCAGCCAGCAGCCCCCACCCTGGGGCAGAGAGGCTGGGGTCACGTCAGCCAGGCCCTGTCCTGCACAGGAAATGAGATGAGGTGACACCATGGACGGTGACTAAGGCCCCGAAGTCCCTGCCTCTCTGCCTCCCCGAAACCTCACAGCCAGGCCAGCCCTGGGGAGCAGCGCCTGTGTGAACATGCCCAGGAGGGGAGCAGGGTTGCTACATAGGAGAAACAGCTAAAAACACGTTAAAAAGCACCGCTGCGGCCTGTGGTGGTACCCACAGGCCCGGTATCTGCTCAGGAAGGGTGGCAGCCAGGGGTTCTCAGCTGGGGGTTAGGGTTTTGTCCTGACTCCCTCTCCATGGAGGGCTGGGGACGAGCCTGCGGTCAGAGCTTCCCTCCGGGCTCTGGAGGCAGGAGGGGCTCCCTATCTCTTCCCCCAGACCCTGTCATTCTGGGAAAACTCAGGAAGGTAGCTGAACCAGACCGGAAAGGACCCTGTTCCCGCCTTGTGCCTCCCAGGGGAGCCTCCTCTCAGAGGGACACATGAGGACACAGGGATCACCCATCCCCAATCCCTGGAAGCTGAGATGGAACAGGGAGTCAGGGTTGCCATGCCCCACTGACTAGCCTGGCTGAGGTGTGGCCCTGGGGAGAGTAGGCACCCACTGGCCCCACGGGGAGCCTGGTAAGACAAGGGGCCGAGTGGCTGGCCTCCCAGGGTGCCTCTGGCCAGGCCCCCCTGGCCTGGTTCTGGGCCCAGAGCTCTGGTCGGGAGAGCTGCCAGCCCTGGGCCTTCCTGGATGGGCCTTCCCCCGAGCAGAGACGTCCCTTTCTCCCCTGCCTCCCTCCCTCTCCATCTCCCTGGCGGGCTGGGAGTGGCCCTGTCTCTATTTCACTCACCCCTGGGGACCCAGTAACTGCAAAGCATCTCTGGCTTGTCTCTGGCCTGCAGGGAGAAGTGAGGATGAAGACCCTGGCCAGCTGAGAGGCCTCAGGGACATTCCCCCTCCTCCTTGGCTGCTCCAGCTCTGGGAAGCGGAGAGCTTCCTCACATCCCACCCAGAGACTCTCGCAGACACCTCCCTGCACATGCTCTGCTCACTTCAGACACTGGCACTCTTTTGCCTATATTGGGTTTTACGTTACTTGAACAGATCACCGGCATTTAAAAATCAAATTTCACATAACAATTCAGGATTCTGGCCTCCGACAAATCAGACCATCCAGCCACACAGGGCAGCCCCTTCAGTGGGGGATGTCCTCTTCCGCTAGTCACAGTTCCCACCTTGTCCTGCAGCCCTCCTTTTCTTTTTTCTTTTTTTTGAGTCGGAGTCTCACTCTGTCGCCCAGGCTGGAGTGCAGTGGCATGCTCGCGGCCGTCGCAGCCTCGACCTGCTGGGCTCCAGCGATCCTTCCGCCTCAGCCTTCCTAGTAGCCGGAGCTACAGGCACGCACTACCACACCCGGCTAATTTTTTTTGCTTTATTGTAGAGATGAGGTCTCACCAAGTTGCCCAGGCGGGTCTCGAACCCGCGGGCTCAGGTCATCCACTCACCTCAGCCTCCCAAGGCGCGGGATGATAGGCTGAGCCGGCCACCGAGCCCGGCCCAGCCCTCCTTTTCATCACCTCTGGCTCTGGAGGCATCTGAGCTTATAACCCTAGTTCTGTCCTCCCTTATCCAGGCTCCTGGCCCCTCTGCAGCCTTACTCACAGTTGCTCCTGGCCAACATATAGACTCTCAGTAAGGGGAAAAGACCCCCAAACCTTAATGGTCACTTCATCCATCGGCCCTTCCATCACCTGACTCCTCTCCACAGCGTCCTGACAAGCAGCCATCAAGTCTCTGCTGTAGGGAACGCACCACCCTCCGGGCAGCCTGATCTTAACTCTCCCGCCATCCCTTTCTCACTTACTCCTCCCCCCACCATTCTGGGCTCTATCCCTCCTCCATGACCACACCACACGCTCGCCCTACACCTTTTCGTTGGTCAGGCCTCTAGAACCTTCCCTCAGGTCTGCCAATCTCCACACATCCTCTCCCTTCCCTCGCAGGCAGCTTATACTGATGGGCAGGCTGTGGTGGTTCTGGCTGCCTGGGTCCCTCCCTTCCAGGGCCCTGGTGAACTGCCGTGAGCGACAGGCCTGGCCACAGCTGCAACCCCCAAGCCACAGGGGGCTGTTACAGGAGGGAGAGCACATGCACCTTGCTCTCATCTTGATTTCCCAGCAAGGACTGAGGCACCAGTCGTGGGAACAACAGAATCCACTCCTGACACCATCGGGGGAAAGTCACAGGCCTGAGTGTGCCACTCATCACCCATGCCCAGTCCCAGCCCCCGGACCGGTGCCCAGGCCTGCTCAGTCCTCACGGTCAGGCTGACCCCAGTGCATAGCTCAGACTCTCCAGGGGAGCACCCTCGGCCACAGCAATCGGCAGAGCTGGGCCTAAGCAGGCAGACCCCTTTGGGGGCCTGGGTGCTCCTGGGCCAGGGATCCTCCCCAGGCTCTCCCACGGCCCATCCCCAGCAGGGGCTGCGTCAGCAGGCATGCCCGCTCAGGGTGCCAACGGGGGCCTCAGGGCTGGAGGGTTCTCCTGGCCACAGTTTCCTGCTCTTGGGGCAGATGTGGCCTGAGCCAAGCCCCTCATTCACAGGCTACACAGACCGATCTCGGGATGACTCCTCCCTACCCTGCTTCCCTTTCCCTGGGTCAAGATCCTGCTGAGGCCGGCAGAATTGGAGAAACATCTCCACTCCCAGCCCCAGCCTGCACGGGCCTGGTGAGGCTTGGGCATTTCCCATAGGCAGGATGCACCCAGCTCCCAGAGAGACGCCTGGGGCAAGGGCACCAGCAGCACCACAGCCCCACAACCCAGCCCCAGGGCACTGCCAGCTCCTGAACACTGGCCCCCAGCCATTGGCAGATCCACGTCGATTAAGTTTCCCCCAAATACCCTAAATTTCAGTCGTAGAGTTAAAAACGCCAAATAAAATAGGCCCAAAGTCAGGGGGCTCGGCTCAGTGGGCGGGGGAGCCACCAGAAGGAGCTGGCACCCCTCCGGCAGCCCCTCACTTTGTCCCGTCACCAGCCCCTCCTACCCCATGACCGAGGTTGCTTCTGGCTGGCAGATCCAGCCCAGGAGTGGGGGAGGCCTGGGGGGTGGGCACCTGCCTCACACCCGGATCTGGTACCCGTTGAGGTCTGGCATGGCTTTGGGCTCAGAAGGCTTCTTCTCACCCGAGGGCCTGCAGGGAGAGAGAGCAGAGAGAGGAAGGGTGAGTGGGTTGAGGTGGGGAAGGGAACAAGCGGCGGCCCCCCACTGGCTCCCTCTCCATTCTCCAAGGGCCTCCCACCAGCTGCAGAATGCGTGTGCAAGCATGTCTAGAACCCTGGCCTGCCCATGCCATCCTGAAGGTGGCCCCGGCCCTCCTGCCAGCTCTCAGACACCACCGGAGATTGGCTCATCTGGCAGGTAGTCACTTAAAGTATAACTCTCTCCAAGGGGAACCTGCCGCCTACAAAAGCCTCTTAGATCAAAGTCTACGATGATGGATGTCTCCATGCCGGAGGCCTGCTCAGCGCTGCTGAATTCACACCAAAGAGGCGAGTCCTGAAGACAGTTATGGCTAAAGCAGGAACCAGACGGGCTCTTAGATGAAGGCAGAGGGGGACATGGTATGTGATGGTTTGTTTTCCCATCTAGACACAGACAAAAACCAGACTCCGGAGGGTAAAAGTCATGTTCAAGGTCATTGGCCCAGCTGCCATCCAATATCTCAACCCGCCCCCATGACATTCCTGGGAGATTCCCACCCCACTGACCCAGAAAGCCTTGGCCTTGGGCCTGCTGTGTGGCCCCTGCTGGTCCTAACTGGGACTCCAAGCAGGCAGCCTGGGACCCAGCTGGGTGCTGTTTTCTCTGGGGAAATGGGACTGCCTTGCTGTGGGAGATGTCGGCACATGAACTCATGCACCTACTGTCCCAAATCACCTCCCTCTGTGGGGGTAAAAAAGATAGAAGGGTGGGGGAGAGAAAAGGGGCACACAGAGGAAGAATCCTGAAGATGAGAGGGAAGGAAGAGCTTCCTTTGAGCCCCTCTGGGCGCGGCCCCATCTCTCACCGTCTCTCACTGCGGCTGTTCCTGCGGTGGGGGCTGGACTGGCCCCTCTGCGGGGAGGAAACATCCTTCTTCCGGTCCTTGGTGGGAGAGGGAGGGCCTGTTCCTTTGCCAATCTAGGTGGGAAGGAAGAAACTGCCATCACTCCAGGGCTGCCCAAGCCCAGCCTGCCCTGCCAGGAGCCAGAGTCCCCGAGGCTGCTTGGGAGCCCAGGGGAGCTCCGGCCATGTCCCGTCCGTGGTGGGCTTATCCAGACCTACTTCACAGGCAGGAAAGCTGCCAGGGCAGGGGCTTCCCAGGGCGCTGCCCCAATCCCCTTGGACCTCAGAAGGCAGCATGGAGGTAGGGGGTGCCACCCATGTTGAGCTCTGGGCTGGGACCCCACAGTCCAAGGGCAACACTATAGCCAATCAGAAGTCAGACCGGCAGCTCTAGCTGTGATGAAGAAACAGCAAGAGAAACAAAAGACTCATTCTGTACATGGCACGGTCAGCTTGAGTTGTCAAAACATGGGTGTACCATGGAGATGCTGGAGGGGGTGATAACGTGTGGTGTCCTCAGTGCTGAGGAGGCTGGGATCACTGTGCTCAAGACTAGGCGACTATGGCTCAACTCCAGATCCCATCTCCCCCATGAAGACACAATAACATTCCCAGCAGTAGAGCCAGGGCACTGGGTAGACGGGGCTGGGTGCTGATGGGTGCCGGAGCAGAGGAGAGCAGCTTCTCTCTAGTGCAGGGTGGGCAGCAGCCAGTCTCTGCTCTGGGGGCTGACACTGTCCTCCCATGAGGCTGGTAGGTTGAGGGTGGTTCTAGCCCTCACAAACCCCTGCCAGGACACCTGCAGATGCCTGCAACATGCTGGGCGTCCCATCATCACGAGACAGCTCCAGTCCTTCTCGCCTCTGTCTGTGAGTGCAACTGGGACTCCTGCCCTGAAAGCAGGGGTCTCACCTGCCCCCTGCTGTCTTCTTCCCTCCGACCCTGGCTGTTGGGAAAAGCAGTGCACTAGAGGGAGCAGAGGTCGGAGGCTGAGGCGGGGGCACTGGACCACCAGAGGGGCAGTTACAGGGCAGCCATGACCAAGTAATGGGGAGGGGCTGAACACCAGGGTCCTGGCAGTCCAGGAGAGGCACCCCCGTGTCCAGGGGACCCAGGGGAGGTCAGAGTTCTTCCTGCTGGGAGGCTCTGGGGGCCGACTCAACAGCACCCTCCCAAATCCCCAAAGACTCCAGCTCATCTGCAGGTGGGAAAGAGGGAGAAGGAACCACCACCTTCCGCCCTCCCCATGGCCTGACTTCCCAGGCCTCCTCCTGGTCCTTCACTGGATGCAGGTGGGTGGGGGGTCTCCGGGGTGCACACACAGGAAGAAGGATGGGGCCACTCACCACCCTACTCCACCGTTCCCTCCAGACAGGCCATGACTTCCCGCAGGGACCCTGACTCCCAAGTCTCCCCACCCACGCTTCTCCAGTGCTCCACACCTGTCACCATCCACAGTGCGCTCACCCGCCTGCCGCGGTCTGCCCACCAGAGGGACCCACCCGCGTCCTCACGCCTCCTCTCCTGGGCTGGGGGCGGGGTGGGGGGCTCTCCCGCTTCCCAGCGCTGAGCAGCAAGGCCCCGGCCAGAGGGGGCAGGGCAGCCCGACCTTGAGCCGCATGTCCCGCGCGTGCCGCTCCAGCTCCCGGCGGAGGTCGTCCTGGCCCAGCCGGTCCACGTCCAGCACCGAGTGCTTCCACTCGATCTGCTCCACGCTGTGCGGGTCGTGCGACACGCTGCCGCCCAGCTTCACCTTCTTGAGCACGTGCCAGCAGCGGCCGTAGGCGGCCTGGTAGTCCAGCACGAGGTCGCTGAGCGAGCGGAAGGCCGGCGGCTTGTACATCAGGTCCTCGCGCCGGCTCATGCCCAGTGCGCCGTAGCGGCCGCCGAGGCTCACCCCCAGCACGATGTGGCGGAAGTAGTTCCCTGAGAAGTAGGTCTTGAAGCTGATGGGGAAGCGCTCCAGGGTGGGCATGCTGTTGGTGAGGTAACTGGCCGTGCTGCTAAGGAAAAGCGGGAGGCACAGGCCAGCTCTTGAGGCTGGGGGCGGGGGGGCGAGGGCAGGGACTGCCCCACCAGGGAGAGGCTGGGCCGGGCTGCCAGCTTGGCGTGCAGACACCTGCCTTCTCATCTCCACATTCCTGCCGTCTCCGTCTACGTCAAGCCTGGTATGCAGCAGGCGCTCAATAAATGGAACGCTTTTTTAATTTTTGAAGACAGGGTCTCACTTTGTCACCCGGGCTGGAGTGAAGTGGTATGATCATAACTCACTGCAACCTTGAACTCCTGGGCTCAAGTGATTCTCCCGCCTCAGCCTGCCAAGTAGCTGAGACCACAGGCAGGTGCCACTGTGCCCGGCTAATTTTGTTAAAATTTTTCGTAGAAACTGGATCTCACTATGCTGCCCAGGTTGGTCTCAGACTTCTGGACTCAAGGGATCCTCCCTTCTTGGCCTCCCAAAGCACTGGGATAACAGGCACATGCCACCATGCCTGGCTTAAACAGAACCTCTAATAGGCACGAGGCTCCCAGTGATTCGTGGCTGCTGCAATGATGTCAAGTAGGGCTCACAAAATAATAACTACAGGCAAACCACGTTCCACACCGTTGGGTTTTCCAGAATCCTGCAGCCAAGGAGGGAGAGACACTGCCCCTCATCTGTCCTCCTTCCTTCCTTCTGCCTTATACACACACACATCTTAGCTGTGCATCCTCAGACACATGCTCTCATGTTTTCTCCTCCACACATAGATTTTCTTGTACATGCAGATACTTCTGTCTCTAACACTCTTCCACACACACACCTTGCCTGTGGTCCTTCAAATGCAATCAAGCACACTCCCGTGGCTGGGAGGCCAGTCCAGGCTGGGCAATGCTGGTCTGCTTGGGCTCTGGAAATGGATCTGCTCTGTGAGCAGCCGCCTGCCATAGTGGTGATTGCTCTCCGGGCCTCTGAGGGACAGAACGGGACCTGCAGCCTCTCTGTGTGAAGATAAGGCAGGCACGTCCACAAGGGGTGGGAAAAGATCTCAGCTCACAGTCCTCCTTGGAGAAATGCTTCTCTCTGTGACTGGCATCTTCTCCTTCCAGCACTTGTGCTTGGAAGGGACCCTTTGTTCCACGAGGCCTCACCCCTCACCATCCTGGCCCTCACCTAATCTGAACTCCTCTGAGCAGGGTGGGCTGCCTACCCTGGGGGACACGGGCAAAATGTTTAAAAGCTGGTGAAGCTGGTAGGGAATATGGGGGGTGAAGACCAAGCTCTGCCCTTGTTTCTTTCTTTTGCCAAATTCTTAACCAAGAGGCCTCAGAAGATGGGTTTTTATGAACCTTCCAATACAAGGTGGGTTACTTTCCAACCTGACTCTGGCATGACAGATAAAGAAAGAAAATTGAAGTATTTTATGATCCTAAAAAGTTGTTTCCTGGAGACCCCCAGACTCTTACAATACTTTAACGACAACTTTTAAGACTTTTAAGACACTTTCCTCCTATTCTCCCTTAAATCTGCCACGCATGAGGCTTCATCTATTAACACATATCAAGAAACCTGAGCCACCCACTTCCCATGCTGATTTCAAAACGACTCTTGCTACTAATTGCCAGTCAGGAAATCTTTGAATCCACCTATAACCTGCAAGCTCCTGCTTGGAAATGTCTCACCTTCCCAGGTCGAACCAATGTAGATCTCACATGTATTGATTTACGGCTCCCCATAACTTCCATCTGGTGAAAATTTACATCATCAGACTACAATTCAGCCACAGAAACCACACCTCTCAGGACCTCCTGGGGATGGGTGTCACGGGCGCAGGTCACTCACATTTGGCTCAGAATAAAACCATCTTAAATATTTTACAGAGTTTGGCATCTTTTGTCTTCATAGGGTTGGGAAGAGATGAAACTAGACTGGCCTCGGTTGGGGAAACTGAGCTGTGGGTACATGGGAGTTCACTATGCTGTTCTGTTTGTATACATATGACTTTTTTTTTTTACAATGAAACAACTGAGGAAAAAAAGGTGGGGCTCAAGCAGTGACCAATTGGGATAAGGACCTGGCCACAAAAACCTGCCTTCTCTCCCCTTGCTCTGACTGGGTGCCCTGGGGACCGCGGCCTCTCCTGGGGGTCTGTCTGTCCCCCTGCCTATCCAGGTGACCTAGCCACAGGCCCAACTTCTGCTCTTCAGGTGGCGGGGTACCTGGGAGACCCTGTGTACATTTTTTTAGTCAGCTCTGCTTCAAAGATCCCATCTACAAATCCACATGCTTTGGAAATGCCAACATTTGGGCTTTCTAGCTCCAGGCTGTTTGGTTCTTGGAAATGGTTCCGCTGCCTTTGTGAGCCAATGTGCCCTGACTCAGGGTTCAGAGAGCAGGGTCAGGGTGTCCAAAAAAGAGCGGCCTAGCAAGACTGGGAAGGTAGCAGCTGAGGTTGGGGATGGAATCTGCCACTGTGAGGCGAAGTAGACCCATAGGGAAGAGCTAGTCCAGCTGGTTCAGCCCTCCCTCCCCAGAGCAGGAAGCTGAGGGGCTGAACCAGGCCCAGGAAGGATACATTCCCAGGATCACGGCTTCCAGGCATTTGATTGGCAGGGCCTCTTTGGTCATTTCCTTGGCCAGGTCCATCAGCCTGTGGGAAGGGAGGCAGGAACATGAGGACAGCACCTCCAGCCTCTCCCAGGAGGGGTATGAGGAGGAGGGAGCAGGGTGGTCCAGAAATGCTAGGACAGAGGCCTCTCCAGGCTGTCCTCAGCTTAGGCCCGGCACCATCCTCCATTCCCTCCACGTCTGGAACCCGGGGGAGTGGAAAAGAGACAGCCAGTGCTCATAGGAAGAAGGCACTTCCCTCCCTTCACTTCCTCCTCCCACACTTGGCTCCCGCTCCAGAGACCTCTGAGAGGGCAGCAGGAGTGGGGGCAGGGCCTTGACCGCCACTGGGCTGGGGCCTCCTTCTTGGGTGGGGGAGGTGGGGCCTCAGCATTGTCCCTTCTGGAGCCCAGTGGACACCCCTGACCCAGCACGGCTTCTCCCAAGAGCTTGTTAACTGACTGCAGCTGTCCTCCGCAGCTGCCAGCCGGGATGTGGACCCTCAGGCAGACAGCCTGCTTTTGACCGTGCAGCTCAGGCCATCTGAAGACAGCCCCTCCCTGAGGCCTGGCTCCTCTCCTCAGGCTTGGGATCCAGCCTGGCCCCGGCTTTGCCCAGGAGGGTGCCAGGACTCCTGCATGCCGTATGAGACGGGAGTGGGCCCCTGCAGGCAGCAGCCCCAGGACAAGGGCAAGGCTTTGGGGATAGGGAGGCTGGATTCCACCCAGGAGCTGGCAGAGAGGGTAATTAAGATACTTCGCTAATAAGCCCTTTAAAGCATCTTTGACAAGAAAGCAAGGATAGATTGTGTGTGGAACAAGATGTAAAATTCACATAGATTTTGAAAACTCAGGGGTCTTAAGCCTGTGGCCATCTTCAGGCTGAGCCCAGACCAACAATGACATTTGCTGGCACTTTCCTCTGCCTTTGGGCTTCATAGGCAGAAACTTTCCAGAGTGAACTATCCAGCCCGGGCAGTAGCACCCAGGGGTGTGGGCTTGGAAGTGAGAGACACAACATGCTCTCCAGGGGACTTCCTGCCGCTTGGATACTGGATCTTCTAAATGGCCAGAGAAGAGCCCAGCAAGGAGATGGACGGGGTGGCTGTGTACCCACCCCAGGCATGGGGGGTGGGGGGTGTTGTACAGCAGCTGCAGCCAACAGAGGAGGGGGGATCTCTCCTGCTAGGCCCGCCCCTTTTTAGAAAAAAAAACAAGCTCTGAGGCCCATCCACTTCTCCCTGGACACCCTCTCTCCTCACCGAGGCAAGCAGGAGGTTCTCTGGCCCTCCAAGCTCTGCTTGGGTACCTGGCTCCCTCTCCAAGTTTTTCTGGCTCTTACTCTCAGCCAGATTTCCCTCTACACGACATCCTCAGGGCCCCAGGCTGGTGCCTGCCCCCGGCTGGCTTCTTGGCTGCCCCATAAGCTTACTCCATGAGGCTCCCCAAGAGGTCCCCCTGGGCCCTGGGGCAGAGGCCTGGCCTCCTCATACTCACCCTGTCAGAGGTCTGCTCTTCTTGATTTCAAAGAACTGTGTCCCTGTGTGATTGTACCTGCAGGTGCCGTTAAGGGCTTCCTGGCTTGGTCTGGAAGTGTCTGCTCCCCTCCCCCTGCCTGTCCTCTGACCTCTCCTAGTGGTCCAGGCTGGCTAAGACCCCACAAAGTGCCTCCTGCAAGGCGCCCTGGAGGATGGGAGGACCCCAGTCTCCTGGAGGGAGGGAAGGGCATTGCATGGGCACCTCTCCTTCCCCTTCCCGCCTTTCTCTTCCCTTCCCACCCCCCCGCAACAGCTTTGTCCCAGGTTCTCCCCACCCACCCCCAGCCTCCCTTCCTAGAATGGAGACTTGGCACAGGCACCCTGGCTAAGACTGGGAGGGCTGCGGTGGGGACAGCTCTCGGCAGGGCTTCCTTTTCCATTCAGCTGAGAGGCAGCATGAATCGAGAGGGGAAAGCTGGGGGAGGGGCCCCAGTCGGCCTCTCCTTGCTTGGGTGCTTTTGAACCAGATGCCTCCCTTCCCTGGGCTCAGTTTCCCCGCTAGCAAAGGGAGGGCTGCACTTAATTTGCAGTCTCAGCCTGGTTTTCCCCCACCCAGGACCCATGCCTGATTCTCCCACCTCTGATCTCCTCCACAGCCAGAAGCCTGGAGAAGGGCGCCCAGGACACACAACTCTGGGGCAGGGCACGGGCTGGGGACCCAGGGCAGGGACCCAGGGGCATCTGGCCTCAGGGGCCAGCTCTCTCCATGCTAAGCAACCAGCCTTCTGCCGGGGAAGAAAAAGGAGAAGAACCGGGAAAAAATTCCAAGATGTGGAAGTTGCCTCCTGGACCATAAGCTCGTTTTCTCCTCCATATTCCATGCCTTTAAAGCCAGTTACTCGATTGCCCCAAAGCTTCCTCTCTCCCTTTGCTGGGCAGGATGGAGACAAAGGAGGGGACTTGGCCGCCCCACCAGGAGGTTGCTCAGGCGACATCTCCCTTCTGACCCTGTCACACAGCGAGAGGGGACACAGGTGGCAGAGAGTCTGAGTGGGCCCAGTACTCACTGGACAGAATTTCTCAGATACCAAGGGGGACCCGGGCTATGTCCTTTTGTGTCAAGGGAGCACAGATGCCACGTGAGTGATGCCCCTGGAGTTGTGGAATGAGGCAGCTCTGCTGACACCGCTCCAGCTCTGCCTGGAGACAAGCCCTGTTTGGCCCCTGGACCCATCATGCCAGCCAGAAGGCGGCCATGACCCTGGACAGCAAGGATACTGCAGCTCCCTGATGTAACGCTGCACGGCTTCCAGGCGCTCAGGGACAGGCGTAGACGGCTGGAACGTAGGCACACTCGGTATGGGAATCTGGGGACAGAGAAAGCTCTGGTCAGAGTGGAGGCTCGTCTGGCAGCCTCCAACCCACCAGACACCCAGAACTAGGCCCGGAGGAGCGCCGCCTGGGGGCAGGGGAGCCTCCCCTCCCTCCCAACCTGAGCCTCCTCCCTTGGCCTCTGCCTCCTGGAGACTCCGGCCCCATCCCAGCCATTCCTTCCCTCCTGACACTTGACGGCAGCCCTCATTTGGAGCTCATGCTGATGTTCCAATTTGATGCTTCTTTCATAATTTTAGAAAAACATCGGTTAACTCACTAACTGTTCTGAATTTTAAATATTCACTGACTTCAAGGCTTCACAAGAATACTGATATTGGGTGGGGTTAAGTTCCTTTGGGTTTGAAGTTTGTTCTGGTTCAAGCGCTAAACCAAAGCTGGGTCACCCGGTGTCTCACCCTCTGAGGTGGTGCCACGGGCTGGGGGACAGTCCCGGGAGGGGCGAGCATATTCTTGGCAAGGGGTGTCACCCGTCCGGAATCTTGGGCATGTTGTTAGGCCTTCCATAGCACTTGAACGGCCAAGGAGTCAGCCAGTGGCACAGGTGAGGGAACATATTTTGGCAGGGTCTGGCTGTGGCTCTATTGCTGGGGCCTGGCTGCTTTGGGGTGGTTTCACAGAGGTACCCGGGGCCCTGGGCTTTCCTTCAATGCCTCCCTTTCCTGCCAGCTTCACACCTAAGCAGAACAGGCAACTGGGGACCTGGACGGTCTTCCACACCTAAAAAAACTTTCTAGCACCCAGCCCAGAACAGGGAGATAAGAGGGCGGGTCAGGCAGGTGGCCCCTGAAGCCCGGAGCCAACAGGCTGGGCTGCCAGAGTCAGGTCAGGAGCGGGAGACCCTGAGGTGCCCTCAGCCGCCAGGCAGGCACCAGGAAAGAGGCCGCCGTGCGGGTGTGGCCCCTCGCCAACCAGGGGAGTCCTGATCCTGCAAAAAGGCAGTGAAGCCGAGGAAGCCAAGAGCTATCAGCCAGCGTCCTCTGGGCCTTCAGAACAGACTTCCAGGGGCAAGGTCCCTCCGGCAGGGAAGCGTCTACACCCACTAACTCTGCAAGGTTCACATGATGGGCTTTCTCATGGACACCAGCACAGTCCAAGAGGCCCCATCCTCTCCCCCAGGCCTCCACCTGGCCCTCCAAGGCCACACAGAGCCTACCTGCCGGATGGGGCAGCTAAGCGTCCTGGTCCATACTGGGGGAACTGTGGAGGGTGTGGAGGGAAGGGAGGCTGGGGCATGGGGCGGGGGAAACGCAGCTCCTTCTTCCCTTCCTTGGGAGGCTCCCTGGGGTGGAGCACCTCTGCAATAATGTGGCTGCAGGGACTGGGGCTTTGACAAAGCGGGAAGTGACACACCAGTTATCACCACATACTCGCGCCTGGGCTGCTGCTGACTGACAGGGGATGCGTCTGTGCCCGCTCACTTTGCAGGCGTAGGTGCGGGAGGGAAGGGTCAGGTCGGAGCAACGCTTTGCAGGAGCTTCCTCTTCCTCCTGTCCTCTGCTTCCTGTTTGGGCAGTCCCTCCAACCGCACTGGCTGCCCTGCGGTGGCCTAAGTTGCTGACACCTCTGTCTGGAAGAAGCTGCTTCCCTTTTCACACCATGCCCCCTCCCCAGACGGGCGCCACCACTTATGGTCACTGGTCACTGCAGGATAAAAAAGTCCAGGTTGGGTTCCCCCTTCCTGCTCCAGGCTAATGGGCTCCTCCTTCCTGTTCCTGGCCTGGCCTCCCTATATCAAGGCGATGGGAGTGAGGAGGAAGGGGGTGGAATTACCTAACGACTGACCATGAACAGCAAGTCTCACCAGACTTGCAACTGCACAAGCTCGGGGGGCCAGGGCCAAGGTTAAAGGACTTTTAGCAGCTGAGCCTGGAGTCAGTGGCCGCTAAGCTTTCACAGGTGATGGCGGCTTGCAATGTCAAGGAGAGGAGAGATTTTTCTTTCTTTCTTTTCTTTTCTTTTTTTTTTAAGAATCAGAGTCTTGTTCTGTTGTCCAGGCTGGAGTGTAGTGATGCGATCATAGCTCACTGCAGTCTCGACCTCCTGGGCTCAAGCAATCCTCTCACCTCAGCCTCCCAAGTAGTTGGGACTACAGGCGTACCACCACATGCAGCTCATGTGTAAATTTTTTGTAGCGACAGTGTCTCACTATGCTGCCCAGGCTGCTCTCAAACTCCTGGCCAACCCTCTTGGCCTCCCAAAGTGTTGGGATTACAGGGGTGAGCCACTACTCCCAGCCAAGAAAAGACTCTTCTCAAGGAGCATAAACTGTTGCTGGATTTGGATCCTTCTAGAAACTGTTGCCTTGCAACCTGCTGGCGTCATCCTTGTGAAGGCTGTTTCTCCAAAGCCATTGGGGGGTGACCGGCTGCACATTCACTCCCCGCTCCATCAGTGGATCCCTACTAGAGTCTCACCTAACCAAGCCTCACACGCTCTGCATCATTAATCCCCCTCAATGTCCCCTGAAGTGGACATTGCGATTACCCCCATTTTACAGAGGAGGAAACTGAGGCACAGGGAGGTTGTACACCTTCCTCACATAAGTAGTTCCAGGGGAGCAATTCCAGGGGAACATGGTGGGTATGACTCCAGAGTGCTCTCCTTTTATGACACTGCTGTGCAGGGGTCCTGGACCCAACCCCCTGTTGTGGCCAGGCAGGGGACATAGGTGGGAAAGGCAGACGGGGCAGGTGACTGGTGGGGACTGTGCCCCAGCCCCAGCCGACAGCAGCCCCGCAAGACTGCAGAATCTCTGTCCCCAAGTCTTCTCATTTTTTGAAAATATGCCAACAGTCTGGTTCTTCAGGTGACAGATGCCCAAGTTATGAATTTGAAAACCCTGTGCAGTTCCCACACAACACTTCTTGGGCCCCCACGGCGTGACCTCTGCAGGGAATGTCTCCGTGCCGACGCCGGCGGCATGGCCCCTCGGGAAGGGCGAGCATGGGGCCGGCCCACCCTGCTGCTGGCACCCTGGTGCCCAGCCTCCTCCGTGGCTTCTCTCTAAGGCCTGCCTGACTCCGCCACACCCTCAGCCTTGCAGAGCTCCTGTCCACTCTGGGCCCAGGTAGGGAGAACCTCACTCAGACACATGCGGTGCCACTAGCTGAGAACCTCGGTGGTTTGGGGCAGGAGTTTCAAATTTGTCCAAACTTCTCATATAATTCCTTCTGTTCTGCGAAACTCCTGTCAGTCATCATCACGTCCCGCAAGATAACAGTTTCCTTCCTTCATCGGGGACCGTCCTACACATGCGGACTGAAGTGGTGGTAAGATGGCATTACAGACCAGAAACTAAGAAGCTCACTGACTTATTTCAGTGCCCAGGAGTGGTGACGGCTCTGCTGAGAACCACTCACGCTCTCCTGCGGCCTGGTTTAGACATCGCAAGACGGGCAGAGAGCCAACTTGTCCAGGGGAGCAGGGTGTCACTCTGAGCAAAATCTGGCCTCCCCTCCAGAGGAAGGACCTGAGAACAGGTAGCAAACATCCAATCAGCAGTACTGACTTGGGGTTTTACAGTTTGTTGAATGTTTTAATGCACAGTCTCTTGTATAATCGTCCCCACAACCAACTCCATTTTACTGATGAGAAAATTTTGGTTCCAACAGATCGAGGGGCTTTGCTCGAGGTCACACAGACGGGCAGACGAACCTGCCAATGTCTGTTCCCTTTGACTCAACACTTTTCTTCCAGGAATTGATCCCAGGGAAATAATCAGAGACAGACCCCAAATGCATGCTTTAGAATGCTCACCAGTGTTCATTTTAATAATTAAATTGGGAACAATGTCCAATGATAGGACATTGGCTAAATGAGTTACAAGGCAGTACCTGGGACAATCACGCAGTCGTTCAAAATCAAGCTATATGTTATTTTCCCTGGAAATATTAGCCAGTTGCTGAATGTTCATCTCTGAGTCTCTTCCCAGAAGATGTTTTCTGATGGCTCTACCCATAACCTGGTAAAAACAAAGCAGGCCCCCTGTCCCCGCCTCTAATTCACATGAAATGCCATCCTACCTGGCCCCTTCCTGCCCACCTGAGCAGGTGGGACTCTGACCTCCATATCTGACTTCCGTCAAGGGCTCTGCTTTGGGGAGTCGGGCCTCTGCATTTGGGGGAGAGCTTCCTTGGTCCTGACTGTATTTTTTAAAAAATGCCAGGCATCTATTTCCAGACAGCGCTGGACCGCACAGAAAATCTCAATACCCTTTCATTCAGCAGACACACATTAAGTGCCTGTTCCGTGCCAGGCACACGGGAGGCCTCAGGCAGACAAAGATGAATGAGACAGAGCCTCTGCCGCCATTGGTGATGCCACTGAGGACGGCCGTCATGGAGGGATCCCAGCCAACACAGGAGTATCATGTCTCTTTATCCCTCTCCACAGGACCTCTTCTGATGTCCCAGAATCTAGTGTCCCACAGAGTAGAGGACCTGGAGTCCTGAAGACCTGGAGTTGAGTCTCAGCTCTGCCTCTTGCTGGCTGTGGGACCCTGAGTTCCTACTTGAGTTTTCAGTTTTCTCATCTGTAAAATGGGTCCCTAAGCTGCACCGACTTCACAAGGCTGTTGGGAGAATGTGACCACACCATGCCTGAGAACATTTCCTCCACATGCAAAGCCTGGCGTCTCCTTACTCACTCACTGTACACAGTTCCTGGCTTAGCAAGCGACACTGGGCACATGAGATGTCACGCCCTATTAGTGTGTGTGGGTGTGTCAGTTCAGCAGCTGTTGCCACCTGCCAGACAGACTTGGGGGAGGACCTCCAAGAGACAGGCCTGTGAGCCTCCCTCTTACAATGGCAGTAAGAGAAAGTTCTTCTGGACAGGTAAGACCTGTATTTTCAAAATCCCACTACACTCGTGGTCCCCTACCCCATGGGAGGACAGTATGGCTCTGCCCACTGCCCTAAGGTCACTGACATCCTAGACTACCGTGTCCCTCCCCCAGCCTCACCTTGGGCAGGTCCGTGGCCCCACGGATCCGCTGGGCCACCTTCTCTCCGTCGGGGTGGATCTTGGCCACGTGCTTCCACATCCGTTCCCAGGTGGCCTCGTCCACGGGCAGTCCACCCCGGTTGACAAAGAAGGGGACGCCCCCATCTCGCAGGTCCTCTTCTCCTTCCTCCTCTGGCTCGTCATCTCTCTGGGCCGAGGCCCCTTCGCTGGTCTCCAAACGCCTGACCCCAGAGGGGGCCACAGCGGCCGGGGCAGTTTGGGCAGCACCGCTGCTGGCACCCCCGGCCGCCTTCTTCCCCCCTGGCATCCCTAAATCCTTGACGGGGGGAGGGGCGGGAGGATGTGTCAGGAGGCGGGAAAAACAGGTGGCTCACAGGAGGCCGCCCACACGCCGGCTGCGGCGGTAACACATGGCCCAGTGCAAGGCGCCTTTAAGAAACCAGGGCGTGGCTCCTGTACAATAAAATACTACTCGACTAAAAAAAAAAAAAAATCCTCAAAATCAGTGCAACAACGTGAGGTGGCGTCCGCGGGGGCCTGGGGTCGGCCTTCGAGGCCTTGTCGTATGAAAGGCGGGAGCAAAAGCACGCACCCCGACTTGGCAGGCGTCACAAAGCACCCCATCTGACTGCAAGAACAATGTCGGGCAGCAGCCTGGGCGGGCAGGGAGGAGAAAAGCCGGTGGGGAAACCGAGCACAGACTGGGACCTGCGGCCGTGGAAAGTAAAGGTCAAGGCACGGGTGCCCACCGGGCGCCCCCGCTCCCGGACTTGGAGAGAACAAATGTCGCTACAAAACCCTGGCCAGCTCACAGCAGCGCGCGCCCCAGGGGGAAGCGCGGCGACTCCGGGACCCCGGGACGAGACCCCCGGGACGGAGAGCGGCGCCGGGGGGCAACTTCTCGGGCGCAACGAGCCGAGCCCAAATCCGGGAGCCGTGACTCGCAGCCGGCAGGGCGCGGGAGGGGGCGCGCGCCGATGCGCACATTCCACGCCCGCGGCCAACTCCCCGCACAAAGTGGGCTTTGTCCGGGCCCCCGTCCCCTCGCCCCCAGGAAGCTGCAGCGGGGCTCCCAGGAGCGGAAAGGGCG